TCATTGGCTATCAAAACAACAGATCTGAGTTGATGACATCCCAGCATTGCTTGAAATATTCCATTGAATAACCATCAGGCCAAGGGCTTTATTCCCCGCTCATGCCTTAATGCTTCCTAGGATTTCATGTGGTTCAAAAGGAGCCTCTAGCATGGACCTGTTCTTTGCATTAATTTTGGGGCAGTTCACCATTTCTAATTGGGGTCTCCACCTCTCTGTTTCTGCATACAAGTTCTCATAAAAGTCCACTATTTCCTTTTTGATCTCCTCTGGATCCTCCTTCATCACCTCCCCTTTTTAGCCCATCTATTGTATTTGCTCTTCTGTGTGCATTTGCAGGGAAAATTGGTGTTTCTATTTCCTTTCTTAAGCCATGTTACCCTGGACCTTTGTCTCCAAGTTATCTCCTCTTTCTTTGCAATTTGTTCAAATTCATTTATGAGTGTCATTCTGGATACTTCTTCTTCTTGCAATATTTTATGCTCCTGAATTTCCTTCATCACCTCCCCCACTTTAGCCTATCTATTGTATTTGCTCTTCTGTGTGCATTTGCAGTTTTGTGGAAATAATTGGTGTTTTTATCCTCTTTCTTAAGCCATGTTACCCTGGACCTTTGTCTCAAAGCTATCTCCTCTTTCTTTGCAATTTCTTCAAATTCATTTATGAGTGTCATTCTGGATACTACTTCTTCTTCTTGCAATATTCTAGGCTCCTGAATTTTCTCCAGATCTGCCAGCTGTGCCAGCACAAGCTGTTTCTCTATTTCCAGATTCCCTTGAGTTGATTTACTCCACTCATTTAGTTTAGTCTTCCATGCCCTCAACTTGGAGACCAGAACAAAGTCAGGGGCGGGCTACCCGTGCTAGGGAAAGACTCCCACCATGTCTTGATCTTCTCCTTTGAATCCTTCTGTTTGAAGCCACCAATTCTCAAATTTGAAGTAAGAATTGGAAGCCTTCCATTCACCACACTGTAGCATGATAGGGGAGTGATCTGATGTAACCCTCTATAAGATGCCCTCTATATGATTGTCTGTTTGACATTCCTGAAGCAATTGTCCAGTTCTTCTGAGATTAGAAATCTATCCAATCTGGCTGCAATATCTCGTCTATCCTCTTTCTCCATATATATTTACCCCTTTTCAATTTCAAGTCTCTCGACTCCATATCCTCTATGAACTCAGAGAAATCTGTCATTGCTTTATTGATTCTGAGGCATCTCTTCTTCTCTGATGGATATCTAGTGGTGTTGAAGTCCCCACATAGGACCTACGGCCCTGAGCATAGACCCCTGGCAGCACCTAGTTCACTCCAAGTATTCTCCCTTTCCACTGTACCATTTGGTGCATAGACTCCTGTTAAGTGCCAATTTAGGTTTTGGCTCTTCCCGATGAATCTACAAGTGTCAGAATACATCCCCACATTGCTCTCTACACCCTCCCAGTTCCTTTTATCCCACATAATCACTATACCCCATCTGGTTTCACTAACCTCCAACTGCACAAAACCAACCCACCTACTTCCCCATACTTCCTTTATTATGTTTGTGATATCCCTCTCAATTTAGTTTCTTGGAGACAAACAATGTCGGCCTTCCAAGATCTAAGTATATTCCTGACTATTCCCCTCTTTCTACTACAATTTAACCCCCTCATCCCAGGAAATAATTTTCAAATTCATTGATCATTTATAGGTAGATATCTCCCCTACTTCTAGAGCGATAGCTCCAAAATTTATTGACAATTTCTAGCCTTTTCAATTCTGTTAGCCCTTTCTTCTTTACTGTGACTTGCATATCTCTGTTGTGTTGCTTGTTGTTGTCTATTTTCAGGAAGAGCTCTTTTGCCTTCTTCTCACACCCTTTGAAATCTACCCCAAATTCTGTACTTAGCTTGATTATATACTCTTCAATCCATTCAGTCATGTTTTCTATTTGTTCACTGTTATTCACCACATCGAGTTGATCATCTGACTGTGTGACTGAAATCTCACCTTCGTCGCCCTGTTTCAAACCTGTTGTTACTTATCTACTGGATTGTCGGTTTGGTCATTCGAAATTTCTTTTTCCCCTTTGAAAATCTCCATCGCTGCACTTACAGTGTTAAGATGAGAGATATTTGCTTGAATTTCTGTTTCCATTGTTATATCCTCCTTCTGCATTATTTTAATTGTCTCTTGGGTTATACAATTATTTGGACTTATGTTTAGGCCCAATTTTTTTTTACCCTGCCCACCACAGCTCATAGTGGCCCCTTCCCATTCATTAAACCTCCATGTGCCCTTTTATTCAAATTTTCCTTACTTTCTACTTCACCCACGTGACTAGTCTCTCCAAAAGCAGAACCTTTCATCAAAATAGGTCTCTGCTTCTAATTACCCACTGGTTCAAGGGCCCTGACCTCTGTCTTCTCTTTCTCTACTCTGAAAGTGACTGGAGCTTCCACCCATATCGAGATTATGAACCATGCCTCCACCGACCACTTCTATCTCCGGCGGAATCGACTTCCCATCTCCTTTCAACTTTATTCTTGCCCAATGCAGATGGTGTTTTAGAGACGTTTCCTCCTCTGTCTCGATGTAACCACTGCACTGTTCTCCAATCTGTTCAAAGGTGTTCTGTGACCACAGACACAGAGGTAGCCCTAGAATTCTTATCCACACCCGATCCCTGGTGATTTCTTCTGGCCAGCAAACTGTGGTTGGGTTCCACCATTCGAGTGATAGGTTCATTTTCTTCCAGATCTAAGTTGCATTTAGTACGTGTTCCGTGATTTTCTTGGAGGGGGGCTCGAAAAGAAACATTCCGTCATTCATCGCAAAAACATTGAGACTGCCTACTACCTTCCGAGTGTTGCATGCCCATCTTCTGACTTCATTTAGGGTTGGGGTTTCAATTTCCTGTGTCGATAGACACCTGCTCGAGAGATCCTTTTCCAATACAGTGGTGTCTCCTGTCATGCTTATGTTGCTCTTTGTTGTCTGTAAATGCACCTTCTTTGATGCCTCTGTTGTCCATTTGTTTGAGACCTCTTTGAAGGACCTTGTTATCTTGCTTCTTGTTGCTGTTTGGGGTTGTTGTGCCTTCTTTGTTGTATCTATGAATTTTGCTATTTTGTGGGCTATATTGCTCCATCCTTCTTTGTAATAGCATTCAGGTGTAATAATTATGGACTTTTCTGACCTTGAAGTGCAATGAAACTAATGTATCTCCCATTTTCATTGTACTTGAGAGTACAAAAGAGCTCTGAAAAATGGTCCCTTGTCTTCCATCTTCTGACCTCTTTCCCCTGTGTTTTTGAAGCTTCAATAATGACTGATACCAGCCATTTTAGAGTTTGTGACCGACTCTTAACTCTCCTCATCAAATTCTCGCTGTGCTCGATCCACTCATATAATGTTTCTGCTCCTGAATGTCATTTAGTGATTTCGTATGATTTGAAACCAGCATTGTAGTAAATGCTGTTTTCCCCAAGTGCATTAACTCTGGCCATCTCCCAGAATCAAAAGCTGACTAAAGGTAGGTTAAGAAAAAGTTTTCCTCGATCTTAGTGCCTGAGAGCATTTTTTCAGTTTCTGATATTTTTCAAATCCAAGATCTGTTATAGCTTAATGTTCAGTTCATCCATCTTACTCAAATGCGATGTGTAACATCATCGTCAGTCTCCTAATTTCCTTTGATTATTGACCTAAGATACTTGAAACTCCCTTTGTTGGGGATGACTTGTGTATCAATCCTTATTTCTGCATCTGCTCTGTGAGTCTCGTCACTAATCTTGCACTCCCAATACTTTGTTTTACTACTGCTCAACCTATACCCCTTGGACTCCCAGGTTTGTATCCAACCCTCCAGCTTATCATTAACTTTGCCGTGTGTCTCGTCAATCAATACTATTTCATCTGCAAATAACATGCACCATGACATCTCCCCTTGGATATGTTTTGTCAATTCATTCATCATCAAAGCAAATAAGAACAGGCTAAGAGTTGATCCATGATGCACTCCATTATGATCGGAAAGTATTTTGAGTCTTTTTCCACTGTCATATGCGGGTGGAAGATATAGGAGAAAAAAGGGTGGGGTGAAGGGCACCCATGGCTTTTAGTGGTAAGAGCGCAACACATGATATGTGGGTTAGTTCTATGTCATGAGTTCAGACTCTACCGCATGCAAACACCTGATATGAAAGTGTAGAAGCGTAGATGGGTGGGGCATTATCTGTTGAGTTTTGGACCATACAACAATTGTCCCTTGGGGAGTCCTCGGTGGTTTAAATATAAAGTAGGTGGGCTGAAGGTATTTTTATCTATCGAGTTTCGAACCATACGACGGTTGTCCCTTGCGGGGAGTCTTCGGTGGTTTAAATATAAAGTAGGTGGGCTGAAGATATTTAACATTCTTCATTTCATGACTGTTTAGTCAACCATATATCTTATGATGTGATAGAAATGGAATGAGGATGATTTTGGGCATCTGTGTAATGGTATAAAAGTGAACAGCCAATTGTAACTTTGAGTTTGCACCCGAAAACTGGTCTACTATCATTTCTGTCTGCGTTAGCAGCTACACAAATGGCATAACAAATATTTTACTGGACTCATTGTTGTTGACCTGTTCTGTCCGAAAAAGATTGTTCTCTATAAGTGGCTAAGGCATTATGCAAGAGAATTGTGCTTTTAAATACGTAACAAATCTGATTAAAGACGAGATTACATTGTCATGGCTGTTAGTCAGTTAATATGTTTATTTTCTTTATAGAGAATAGTTGGTCTCGTTGTTGTTGACCTGTTTTGTCTGAAAATATTGTCCTCTGTAAGTGGCTAAGTGCATTATGCAAGAGAATTCTGTTTTTAAATACTTATTACTCTCTTTACAAGCTTTCATAGCTTCCTATAAGGTTCTGTTTATCAAGCCATTGATAGTTATTCAAGTGCTTTATCTTTCTCTCCTCTCTTATAATATTAGTTAATGCCTTTTGCTGTGATCTGGCTTCTTCAATGCAGATAGGTGAGTGTGTGGCCATCTGGTGGAGGCCAAATTTTGAAACCATAATGTATCCATATTGCCCTCCACACATAACAAAACCCAAGGTATAGTATCATAAAAGTTTTTCTAAGATGCCTAATCTCTTCTCTTTGTTTTTTTTTTGGGGGGGGGAGGGAGGGAGAAGGTGGGTTGGGTGGTGGAGGTTGTGTGTGAGGTTGGTTTGGAGTTAGAGAAGAAAAAAGATATCCATTTTTTCAGAATTCAAAGGAATTCAAGTCCCTATTTATATTCAAACATACAACCATGCATGATTTGTAAATCAACGTGAAATCGCATCTTCAAACGGTGATTTCATCTCATGATTACATATCGCATGTCCAAACGCCTACTTAGTACCTCAGTTCTTCTTTTGGTGAATGATTCTTTTAATTATTTCCGTGGGCCATGCAGGAGTGTAAGAAGCTCTTCGTAGTTCATCTATCTGAAAGAGAGTACTTTGCTGTCCCAAAAAATCTGAAGCTTCTTGCAGTGCCATTGTTTGAACTTTATGACAATGTTCAGGTATAAATTATAATCATTAATTTTCTGGTTGCATCATAAGATATTTTCCCAAGTAGAGTGCCTAAAAGTCCTTTAGCAGTCAGTGTTGTGCCGACTGGTGGCTGTCTCATGTACCTTTAACCCACACCATTTTTGTAAACCATCTTGATACATGTTTATCATTTTAACGATTCTATTTTTAACTCATTGCAGAGATATGGACCTGTGATATCCACGATTCCTCAACAGCTTTCCAGATTCCAGTTCAACATGATCCACTCGTAGATTAGGTTAGGTGGACATTCAGAACCTCCTTCTGGCATACAATCCCAAAAATACATTAAGCTTTTTACTTGAGGTCCTATATTTTCAGAATGATAACCTTATTTTCTGACGTGATTCTTTCTTTTCCAATAGGCATATCTACCGACTTTCGTGGATATTTGTTTTCAACTTAGCTTATTCATGATAGACATAAATTATAGGTGTATTGTTGTAAGCTTTGATGGCCTGTCTGTTGTAATGTACCATAGTTATACGTTGCCATGTATTTCTTTGTTTGTTTTTGAATGTTGACATGTTAGATGGAATACCGCTGCTATGTTTGGACAGAACTGTACTTAGTGATCTCCCAACGGAACCACTTCTTGAGTTTGAGTTTACACTCAGCATGAGATACAGGCCATTTACATCACTCCCTTGAAGACTCCTTTTTTATTGGCTTCAACAGGAAAGAATTTGGATACATAAAATTGTCTTAGCATCAAGTTTCAATGAAACTAGACTTGTATAATTTCATTTTTCCTTTCATGTAAAAGGCTTTTATCTTTCCGTTCGTTCCTAAGTTAAGTGAATTGCATGTACAGATTTGTCGAGGATTGTAATTTAGTTAGTTGCTATGTAATTTTATAACAGTGACGTTAAAGTTTGAGCCCAACTAAATCTACCATTTACTTTAATGTAAATGCACATTGCATTTGACCATCTTTTTCCTAGGACTCATTTGGACATGCGATTATCTAATTATTTGAAATTAGATTGATTTGAAGTTGAAGTTGAAGTTTTGCTTAATCATGTAATTTTGATTTTTTAAGTTGTATTTTTTTCTTATAAATGCGAAAGCCCACAAGTTTTGAAAATTATCTAAAAAATTTCAATTCTTATACAATTTTACCAAATTAGCAAACCATAATTTATCTTTCCGTCTGTTACTAAAGTTAAGTGAAATGCATGTACAGATTTGTCGAGGATTGTAATTTAGTTAGTTGCTATGTAATGTAATTTTACGACAGTGACGTTGAAGTTTGATCCCAACTAAATCTACCATTTACTTCCATGTTAAGGCATATTGCATTTGACCCATCTTTTTCTTGGGACACATTTGGACAGGAGATATCTAAATATTTGAAATTAGATTGATTTTGAAATTGAAGTATTGCTTAACCATGCAATTTTGAATTTTTAAGTTGTATTCTTTTTCTTATAAATGTGAAAGCCCCACAAGTTTTGAAGGCACCACATTGATAAATCACATATTTTCATATTATTTTTTATAAGTAAATGTTTTGCAATCACAAACTTCTAAATTCACATAGTTTTGTAAAGTTTCATTAGTCAACAATAGGAGTAACTAGTTAGTTTTTAGTTTAATCCTTTCATGGTATAGAAAATCTCTTTACTGGTTGGGCATCATTATTTTTTTTAATTATATATATTGTATTATTTTTTTAATAAAACTTATGGTCAAGTGTTACAACTAAGAAAATTGAAATCATGATTTGGAATTCTGAATTCTAAATCATGTTTTTTGGAGAATTTGAGATTTGAAATTAGAGCATCTTTAATAAAACATATTAATATAGGTGCTAATTACTCTACACATCAATAATTTCAATAATTACTACTTTGTCTGAGTTGCTTCTAGATGCATTGTGTTCGTCTCTAAATACAGTTTATTTGTCTCTAGATACACTTTATTTAGTGAATGCATCTAGCCCCTTTTCTCTTTCGCTAGACTCTAGATACAATGTATTTACTTTGGATACATTGTATATAGCAAATGTATCTCTCCTCTCTCCCTCCTTTGTCCTTTGTATTTTTGTTTCACAATGTGTTTGTGTTTTATAATTTCATGTATATGTGTATACAATATCAAATATGCACCGAGGTATCTGTATATATCAATTCTATCATATGTATCTAATATCAATTTCATGTATCCGTCATAAAAATATATTGATGTATCTTGTGTATATGCATAGTATCCAATGTATCTATGTATAGTTACAACTTGGTTCTAAGAGGGCACTGTTGTATCTAGTGCATTTAGTGTTATGAAATTTGTGATGTATTCAGTCTGAGTATTGATACATACTTAGAAAGAGACAGAGACGAAAATATAGTTATCTTGATACATGTATTTGTGCACTTATACGTATGTTTGTGTAATTATGTCTTAACTAGTGACCCTTCAATAACTATTTGGAACCAATAACGCAGCAGAAAGAGGAGAGAGAGATTAGGAAGATGGAGAAAGCAAAGGGGGAGAGCAAAAAGAGGAAAGAGAGAGAGAGACAAAGATGGAAGTGCGAGGGAGGGGGGATGAGAGGAGAGGAGGGGAGGGGAGAGAGAGAGTAAGTGGAGGAGAAAGAGCGAGAGATTATATAATTATTTTAATGTATAATGAGATTTAGTAGACATGGTAGAGATGTTTGTCTAATTAGATATATAGTTTTTCCTTGAAATTATGATTCCAAATTGCATGTTCAAACGCTGATTTGAAATCATAATTTCATATCGCATGTCTAAACACCTATTTATAATCTGTTTGGATGAGTTAATAACTTATTTCTACCCTAGAGCTTTTGTTTGAAAACAAATACTTAAATTATTGTTTTTATTTTATCCAAACAAAACAATACAAAACTTTCTAAAAACTATTTTGAGTTAAATACACCTAAAATAAGCCACAATTCAAACAAACTCTTAGTTACTTCAACTTAAATTTTACACTTCAAAAATCTAAGAGACTACATCGATTTTCTTTTAAAAAATAACATAAAGGAGTAGTTGTTTGCGCGAAAACTCCCGAAGGACGTCTACCGTTTTTTTTTTTTAATAAAAAAAGAAGTTAAAATCGACTAACAAGGTCGACTTTCCCTCAATTTTTGGAGTGAGCTTCTATACATCATTTTTTTTCATTGTTATTAGTACTGCCCTACCCTTCTACGTAGATTCGCCCCTGCTTTTAATTATGAAATAAGAGGAAGTATGTTATTATTGTTAATTAATTTTCATTAAGTTGTCAATTTTGAAAAAATAATGAATGTATGATCATACTGAAAGCACATGATCACTTTACTACGTATCTCTTTGGTCATCACTTCGATCATAATTTACTTCCAACTACTTATAAGTGTTTAGAATAAAACTAGTTGCTAATATTCTAACTAATCAGTTAGTTTAACCGATCCAATTAAATTATTAGACAACTTGTATATATTTTATTCACATGAAAGGAAAAAGAAAAATATTATTTGACAACATTATTTCTTTGGACATAATATTTTATGTGATATCAAAACCATGTGTTTTCCATATATTCATGAAAATATCTTGTTTTTTGCAGCACAGACGACAAGGGATTGCTTTTAGTGGCTGCTAATCATAATTAATTGTTACAACCTGCATTAGGTACTAATTATTCACCATATTTTACTGATTTTTCCTTTTTCTTTTCGGAGTTGCAGTTTTGGTGATGCATGCAATGGTATATATATACTATAACAATTATGGGTATTTATAACAAGGACTCTCACTATATTACGGCGGAGCTAAGTGGGGGTTTGCGTGTTCGGACAAACCTAGTAGCTTTTTCGTAGGCACTGTATTTGTATTAGAAAATTAAATAAATATATATGTGTATATTAACTTGTAAACCCCCTAACAAAACTGATTAACTGCTCAGTGCTAAGGAAGAGACCATAAAAATGTTTTCCACAAAAAAGTTATGGGTTCGAACCGCACTAGCTATCAACAATTTTTTTTCTTTTACCTAACATTTAAAACCCCTAAACTCCAATTATGCTAAAGACTTTAGTGACTCGAGATGCAATGATATTAACTCAATTAATTGCTGAAAAACTATTGCTACTAAACGTCTCTTTCAGTATTGGCGAAGTTTAATTGAAGGCCTTTCATTTGGTCTCCCCCCCTCCTTCCAAGTTTGTCACTTGCAATATATATGTAGATGCAAATTGAAGTATAAAAATGTAGTGTCTTGTATAGTTTATTGAGTTAAATACATAAAAGTGTTTAAAATTAGATTATGTTTCATGAAATGAAGTAGGGGATTTGGAGTTATGATAATTACTGTTTCCATACAATTCACATGGATCAGAAAATAAGCAAATTAATATATTTGCATGACACTAATCACTATAATTTAAAGTATATATCTCGTGGAATTTGAATTAATTTTTCTTCTTCTTTATTTTTAATTGTAGGCTATAGACGACAAGCACAAAGAGTTAATAAAGATTTGCTTGCCACAAAATCCCGCATGATTTTACATAAGCGATATCGACCTATATGTATATATATATAATAGTTTTTCACAACTCAATTAATATGTGAATTTGGGTGTGGAAGGTTCTAATTAAGGTGTTATGTGGGCAGTGTTTTTTGTCTCCGCTAAATTTTGACTTTGAGACCTCAAGATTCTAAATCATTTCATTGATCACGTACTAGGCCACATCCATTTTAAGTTGCATCTCTCTCTATATAAATATCTGACAATACTTCATTTGTCCACTTTTAATTGTCATGTTGTGCTTTTCGAAAGTCAATTTGACAAATTTTCAAAGTGAAATTAGATTACATTAATTCGATATTTTAAACAAAAAATTTAGATATTCAAACACTATACGAAAGGTACTATGAGGTGCAATTTTTTACATATCAATATGATGAAAAAAATACATCGTAAAATGTTAGTCAAAATACTTATCGTTTGACTCTAAAAAAGGAAATCATGATAATTAAGTGGACGAAGGTAGTATATATTTTTGAAAAAAAAAAACACTTAGTTGTAGAAGGACTAGAGTTATATACATGCATTTGCATTGGCTACTAAAATATTGTTGGTCAGTATTTATGTCTTAGGTGGACATTTCCTCCTTTTCAAATGCGTAGGCCACGCCGTATGTCTTTTTCAGTTTTTTTCGAACAGTGGCGGAGACAAAATTCCTATTGAGGGGTTTAAAAAAATAAGTAAGTACATCAATAGTATCCATATATAAGCAAATCGGGTCAAACTTGAATAGATTAGATAAGATATAAGTAACTAGATAAAATCCAAATGTATGTTAACACAAACAATAAAACATAAGAAGTTAAAAAGTCATATTACAATTTTGTTTTTTTCTAGCCCTATTGAGTATGGAAGCAATGAAACAAAGAGGACGGAAGATCAAATTACCATGAAATGATTTAATTACCATGAATGTCTAATTGGTACTTCACATTTATTTTAAAAATAGAATTTGCATTTGAAAAGTTAAATAAAAAGTACAGTACTATTATAAATTACCATAACTTATAAAATAAAAAAATACATATTTTAATACTACAAGTACTGAAATAATTCGTAGTTAATTAGCATTTGAAAACGATTTGTTTCTTTAAATATAGTTGTTGACTTGACAGTTTTATTAAAAATAAATTTATACTTGACCTATGTCTGCTCTTTGATGCCTTTGAATAGCTAAAATGACAGTTTTAACATCATTGACTAATTAATTAACATGGTGGGGGAATTTCGTTAACTAAACCTAATTTTGATTAATTAATGACAAGTTATTAAAATTGATCTTCTTTCTTTGTCAGTAAATCTACTCGCAATATGTTCTTGCTTCATGCAATTATGAAAGGTTTAGAATATTAAAACTGTGTAACCAAGT